TTCTCTTCAAAGAAACATTATCAATTGTGTTGAGGGACCAAATGATCAAATCCAAATCCATAACTTATGATTTGGAAGATTTATAGAAGAGAGGCTCTAAGCAGTTTCACAGACAGGACAGAGCAAAAGCAAAGCAGAGAGGGAGAGGAGAAGACATCCGCCCTTGACAAGAGCAAGTGCTAGAATTGATAAATTGATTTAATGTTCCTAGACAATGTTATAATTCCATTTATGAATAAGAACTGTCTTAATTTACTTAGAAAAGTATGTTCTCTATCTCCGCCGATCTTCATGTTGCTAATTTACGCCACTTGTATTTCTGTTAAAACTCATTGACATATTTACGTCATTGGCTAAAATGATATGCAACGCATATTTAGGATGATGTAGCACAGCTTCACCACTGAGCGGCGCTATTTCACTGTGAAAATAATTTATTTGGTATCTTGCAGGGTTTTCTCATCCAGCCCAGTCTGGGGTTAAGGTCTAAAGCAGCCTGTGCAACATGAAGATCGGTGGAGATAGAGCGCCGCTCAATGGTGAAGCTGTGCTACACCACCCTAAATATGAGACACATATCCATCCATCCATTTTCTTTTACCCGCTTCTTCCATTTTTAGCCAATGACGTAAATATGTCAATGATTTGAACGGAAATACAAGTGGCGTAAATCAGCAACATGAAGATCGGCGGAGATAGAGCACATACTTTTCTAAGTAAATTAAGACAGTTCTTATTCATTAACAGAAATATAACATTGTCTAGAAACATTAATCATTTTGTAGAAAGATATATTTTAATTACCATTAATAAATACGGTATGTTTCATAAATACATTTTATTAACATCAGGTAACAATCAATGAACTGATAACTGATCATCATATTGATTTATTCTGTCTGACAGAAACATGGCTACAACAGGAGGATTTTGTTGGTATAAATGAATCCAGTCGTGTTAATTATGTAAATTTTCATGTTCCTAGAACAACTGGCTGAGGTGGAGGAGTATCTTCTATTTTTCATCAGGATTATTGATTAATGCCAAACCAGTTATTAGTTATGATTCTTTTGAATCACTGTCCCTCAGTCTTTCTCATCCAAAATGGAAATCAGAAAAGCCACTTTTACTACAAACTGGATTCCAAAAAAGTTGGGACACTAAACAAATTGTGAATAAAAACTGAATGCAATGATGTGGAGGTGCCAACATTTAATATTTTATTCAGAATAGAACAAAAATCACAGATCAAAAGTTTAAACTGAGAGAATGTATCATTTTAAGGGAAAATTCTGTTGTTTCCAAATTTCATGGCATCAACAAATCCACAAAAAGTTGGGACAAGTCCATTTTTACCACTATGTGGCATCCCCCCTTCTTCTTACAACACTCAACAGACGTCTGGGGACAGAGGAGACCAGTTTCTCAAGTTTAGAAATAGGAATGCTCTCCCATTCATGTCTAATACAGGCCTCTAACTGTTCAATCGTCTTGGGCCTTCTTTGTCGCACCTTCCTCTTTATGATGCACCAAATGTTCTCTATAGGTGAAAGATCTGGACTGCAGGCTGGCCATTTCAGTACCTGGATCCTTCTCCTGCGTAGCCATGATGTGATTGCTGCAGAATGTGGTCTGGCATTATTGTGTTGAAAAATGCAGGGTCTTCCCTGAAAGAGATGACGTCTAGATGGGAGCATATGTTGTTCTAGAACCTGAACATAGTTCTCTGCATTAATGGTGCCTTTCCAGACATGCAAGCTGCCCATGCTACAAGCACTCATGCAACCCCATACCATCAGTGATGCAGGCTTCTGAACGGAGCGTTGATAACAACTTGGGCTATCCTTGTCCTCTCTGGTCCGGATGACATGGCGTCCCAGTGTTCCATAAAGAACTTCAAATTGTGACACATCTGACCACAGAACAGTCTTCCATTTTGCCACACTCCATTTTAAATTACCCTTGGGCCAGTGCAAATGTCTGAGCTTGTGAAGCTTGCTTAGAAATGGCTTCCTCTTTGCACTGTAGAGTTTCAGCTGGCAACGGCGGATGGCATGGTGGATTGTGTTCACTGACAATGCTTTCTGGAAGTATTCCTGAGCCCATTCTGTTATTTCCTTGACAGTGGCATTCCTGTTTGAGGTGCAGTGACGTTTAAGAGCCCGGAGATCACGAGCATCCAGTAGAGTTTTACGGCCTTGACCCTTACGCACAGCGATTGTTCCAGATTCTCTGAATCTTTTGATGATGTTATGCACGGTTGATGATGATAACTTAAGTCTTTTTGCTATTTTATGCTGGGTAACACCATTCTGGTATTGCTGCACTATCTTTCTGCGCAACAATGTTGGAATTGGTGATCCTATTACCATCTTGGCTTCTGAGAGACACTGACACTCCGAGAAGCTCTTTTTATACCCAACCATGTTGTCAATTGACCTAATTAGTGTTAATTGGTCTTCCAGCTGTTCGTTATATGCTCAACTTCCTTTTTCCAGCCACTTATTGCTACTTGTCCCAACATTTTGGGGATTTGTTGACACTGAAATTTTGAATCAACATATTTTTCCTTTAAAATGTTACATTTACTCAGATTAAACTTTTGATCTGTCATCTATGTTATATTACGAATAAAATATTGACATTTGCCATCTCCACATCATTGCATTCAGTTTTTATTCACAATTTGTTTAGTGTCCCAACTTTTTTGGAATCCGGTTTGTAGTTGTTATACATCATCCACCAGGCGCTTACTCTCAGTTTTTGAATGAATTCTCAAAATTCTTAACTGACTTACTATTAAAAACTGATAAAATCATCATAATGGGTGATTTCAATATTCATGTGGATGTTGAAAGTGATAGCTTAAGCAAGCCTTTAATAATTTAATAGACTCATTTGGTTTTACCCAAAACGTCCACACATCTACTCATTCTTATCATCACACTCTTGATTTAGTTCTGCCCTATGGTATAGAGATTAAGGACTTGGTAATAGTTCCTTAAAATCCTAGACTAGGTGTGGCCTCCCCTGGGTACAGTCTGTGGTACAGAATACGGTCAATAGCCTTGTCCTGCTCCAAATTTTTCAGGCAATCTATCAATTTCTTCTTGTAACCACTTCCTGGATCTCTTTTCAGAGGTTCATAAGTGTTTAAGTCACAAAGGAGTGTCATAACTTTCTCATGATAGTCTTTCTGGTTCAAAATCACTGTGCACCTTCCTTTGTCTGCTGGGAGAATGATGATGTTTTTGTCCTTGCTAAGAGTGGTGAGTGCATCCCTCTCCTCTCTACTGATGTTGGAAGGTGGTGGTTTGGCATTGCTGAGGCAGGATGAAACTTTGATTCTGAGCTGTTCTGCTTCACCCTCTTTAATTTTGTTGTTGCGGATGGCTGATTCTGTGGCTGTGATCATCTCCACCAGAGGAATTCTACTTGGTGCAACCGCAAAGTTCAGTCCCCTGGCAAGAATCTCTGTCTCTGGCTGGGTGAGCTGTCTGTCAGATAAATTTTTCACCCACTTTTCTGTCTCCCTGGCATGTAATTGACTACTGGAGTGTTGTCCTACACTGAATGTGTTGTTATTGGAACAGTGATGGTGTTGATGAGTTATTAGTAAGTTAAACTTGTTTTGTTGTCGAGTCTTGGACTTGACATGCTGTGCTAAGCGTGCCTGATCTGTACAGTCCAACACTTGCTGAAGTGTGGTCTGATCTAGACATGTTGTTAGTTTCTGTTTAATGTGATCTTCTTTGGCCTTCAAGGCCTCAATAGTAAAATTGGTCTGTCTCACCCGTTCATTCAGCAGCTGGGTCTGTGCCTTCTGAAGGATCTTGCTTGCCCCGTGCTCGCTGACCAATGATTTTAGTTCCAGGCTCTTGGGAATGATGCCACTTTGTCGACATCTGAGGTTGAATTGCAAGTGGTTCCTGTAGTCTGCCCTCTTCCTTGCTGTTTTCTCAAACTCTCTTACTAATTTGAGGCAATCCTGGCCAAAGTGGTTCAAAATTTCCTGATGCATGCTCAATAATCCAGGTAAAAAAATCCAAAAAAGTTCAATCTGGTCCTCTGGACATTCAAAAAAAACCAAAAAACAAAACAAAGCAAACACATGTAGATGTGTTTCGTCTCTCATTCGAAAGACTTCCTCAGTCTGAGGTGCTGTAT